ATCACATAAAATTAGTAATAATGGTCAATTGTCTGGACAATCATGATTGAAATTACTTTGGGCTGTTGCTGAAAATTTTTCACTTTTATGAAGCAGATTTTGATTCCAGAGGACAAAGATACATTTATTGATTTCGAGGGTGAATATGAGAGCCTTCGTACCGTTGTGATAATTAAATTGGCGATCCCCGCCGAATCTAAGGCTGAACAGTGAGTGCATCTTTGACCGGATTATGAACCATTCCTATATTTAAGGTAAGTACACTTGCGTTCAAAAAGTATTGGGACAAATTCGATAAACGAATTATGGCGTTGCGTTGGATTCGGTTTGCAACGGAAACCTTTTTAGATTTGGGCAGTCTTTCTCAAATAATCTAGGCCTACGTATCCCCAAAGTAGAATAAAAAGTTAAGAAAATGCTTCAACTTTTAAATTATAACTTTGAAAACATAGGATTCTTAAGATTTTCCTGAATATAACAACAAAATATGCAAAAGGGTTGAATGGCCTGATAATAGCAAAGTCACATGACCTTTACAAAATTTTAGAGATGTCCAAACAAATTCAACTTTTTAATTCCACGTTTGCATAACAAAGAAATTTATAAAAGAAATTATAAAATCAAAATTTTTAGCTTCCAATAAAGTTTGCTACATCAACGAAAATGCTACCATTTTGCTAAATTATTGCATTTACTCGAGTCCATTTTAAAACTGCGTAACATTCAAGGAGAAGCCATTGTATTCGTCGGTGATGATTAATTTTTGTTATGAGAGAGCATTTTCTTCCTAAAAAGCTGAAAAATTGGTATTTTTTATGATTTTTATAGCCATTTTTTTGCTTATGTTCCAACATTTAGCTTCTTTTTACATGACAACATAATTTCTAGTAAGGATTCAAACCTATTATTTCGCAGTTCCCTCAGTAAAGACCTTTCGTCCCACGGCGTCGTAAACTTCTCCGGTCTGCCATCCCTTGGTAAATTTTTTACTGATCTTGTACGGAAAATCTTTTTACACACCAGAAAAGCTGTACTCGTTGAGCAACCGACAATTGATGCAATTTTACGAAATTCATTTGCTTTATTTTAGTAGAAAGCAATTTGTAAGCGCTTCTCCTAACTCAGTTCTTGAATTTCAAGAGCCTCCAGGTTTTCGTCTCAAGGCCTATAGAAATTTTATGGTCGACGTCTTTTAATTGTTTGGCGTACATAGAATGCTTTGAAACATCAACAATGTCTTATGAAAGTTTCTTGGAAATAGCTGCTGTACTTATTTAATGAGAAAGATTTTAAAAAAGTCTTTTCAAGTTTGTTGCATAAAATGTCTTCGAAATTTCGAAGTGTGTCCCAATACTTTTTGAACGTAAGTGTATATAATTGATTTTGTCTAAATGTGAAATGTCTCTAGCGTTTTGGGTGGGGAGAGGTAAAAACCTAATTAACCTGAATCTCGACACGAAATTTACCGATCATTTGCGAGGTGTTTTTTTATATTATTTTTTGCGAACGAACAGTGGCGCCAATATAGGTTAAATAGCAACGCATGATGATGAACTGGACAAAATATAAAGTGGAAATTCGCTTTGTAGAGGCATGCAGTGTTTTTTGTAGACGATGTGGTAAAAACACGCTGAAATGGCGAAAATGGGCCTAATTCTAGCTGCGATGCGGTTTTGTTGTGAGAATCCTTTGTGCTGATTGGCTTAGAACATGGCAGCGAACAGAGCTCTCAGCCAATCAAAGATTTGACCGCGCCATCTTTATTCTTATATCCGCTATGCTTTATGATCCATCTCTCGCTATTATGCGATCGTTGTAGTCGAATTTCATAGATATGCTTTTGAACGCCAGGGTTTTATAGTGTTATGATCGCTTTTTTGATCAAATTGTATATACTTTGATAACGGGCTTTGCTCGGAAACGTCGTTATAAATTTAAAAAAAAAAATTTTTCCTGTTACAAATTTCATCAAATTTGCATCGTATTATAGCTTTATATGGTAGTCGCATGCAATTGGGTATACATGATAAGTTTATTCTCGGTACACCAGCCTGGTACAGAGAGCAGGAAAAGTTCAAGAACAAAATTGAGCTTTGGAGATAATACCGTTTTAAGCAATCAGAAATAAATAGGTTTAATGGAACTCAAGCAAATAACACGAACATTATTGCTTCCTCATGGGAAGTAGAATGTTGTGGTATAAATGATTCTGTGGTGCAAAAACGCAATACGATAAAGGTCGTAGCAAGCTTATGAATTGGATGCCAAAAATAGCTCTGTCAGTAGTATGAATTTCATGCACTCTAAAAGGCCTTTGGAGTAAACTCACCACAAAAAAGGCAATCATACCTCAATACCAACAACATACATAAACAAATACAGAATCGTCAGACCCGAATATTATCAAAAAACATATACATACAAAAATCAAATAACCTAGACCTAATACAATCAAGAAAAAAGTCACCAACTCCTTACAAACAAAAAAACATAAAACTAAACATGAACAAAACACCACCCCAAACCATCACCACAACCAGAACAGGTACTTAAAAATATTAATGACGAAAACTACGTAGATATAGAGACATAAATTATAAAAACATTAATTCAAGAGACTCAGGCCCTTGGTCTTTAAGAAGAACAAAGTATAGATTTAAACACGATCTGTAAACTTCTCTAAACTGAAAAAAAAATAATTGGGGAGAGTGAATATGAACAGTGGTACCTGCCCTTTCGCTCTCAGAGGCCACAGGCCCACAAACAAAATGAACCGGACTCGCCAAAAACCAGCAACACTAGCCTAAATTAGCAGTTAGATTCATGATCAAGCAGTCTAACATGAAAATGACAATCTTTTGAGGCATGGAAGACTCTTACTACAGTGAGCATAACAAATCAACAAAACGATATCCAACAAAAACACAACACATAAGTCATAAAGTCCATAAATAACAGCCACAAACAGGATGAGTAACAAAAATAAACAATATAACCATAGAGAAATAAGACCTAACAAACAATACTTAGAGATAATACATTCACCTAAAATGAAATTACATCAAATACTAACAACATAACTAAAATAAAAAAATAAAAATATAACAACGATTAAAAATGGTGGATCATTAGATAAATATACAATAAATAACTTCACAATGTAGGAAAAACAACAGAGCTAACTTCAAACACAATATGAACAGATCATTTTATACACTTAATTATAAATATTTCCGTTTTGAGGAATCAAAGAC